CCCATATAAAAAATAGTGTTGACTCAGTTCAACATACAGAATGCAGATTGTCTATTAGATTTAGAGTACTTCCATTTATTGATTTGGTTGGTTTTTGTAGTGTTGAATTTTGGATTGGAGCCTAAATCAAACTTATTCTGGCATTTTTAATTCTCAGGGACTGCATTTTAAGAGTGAGCCAGTGCAAAGGATGTGAGTTGTAGACAGAAATGTAATTCCCAGTTTAGAAATTCATTCATTCACTGAAATTGTCCCATAGCTGTTTTTAACCACATTTATTTCCTTTATATAAAGTGAGGGAAGCATTTAATGATTCAGAAAGTGTATAATATACAGCTATACGGCACACATTTTATTTCTAAAGGATTTTTTTTTACCTCAAATAATTGCCTGTGGATCGGAGGGATTTCTTTTATTGACTAATAAGAACAACGGCATTAAAATTAAGAGAGTAAAGTGGCTTTGAGGAAAATAACCAAGCGGGGTGGAAAAGAGGTTAAAAAAGAAGTAAAGATGATAATTGCAGCTATGCAACTGAAGCCCCGCCCCTTTATTTTATTCAGTTTGCATGCCACACATTATTTTAAGATTGTTTGCTGGGAAAAGAATCTTAAAATAATTTTAAAATGATTAAACAACAATTAGAAATTAAAACCTCCATCATAAATACAAAAACTAAAATATGTAGCAGCTGAGGAAGATGTCACAATCAATAGTTGTTAGCACAGCCAAGAGATGGGATCCATCACATACTAAGGGCAATGGGCTGGTGAACAGAAGCAGAATCTTTTAAGACATTATGAAAGGTCAGAAGGGTCAGGGCCATTCTAACCTTTTGTACTTTAGTGTGCAGCAGCTGCCAAAAAAGCCAACACAGTTCTAGGCTGCATAAACAGAGGAGCAGAATCAAGATCACGTGAAGTGTTAATACCACTTTATAATGCCTTGGTAAGGCCACACTTGGAATACTGTATCCAGTTTTGGTCACCATAATGTAAAAAAGATATTGATAGATAGAAAGAGTGTAGAGAAGAGCAACAAAGATGATTAGGGGACTGGAGCTAAAACATATGAAGAACAGTTGCAGGAACTGAGTAAGTCTAGTCTAATGAAAAGAAGGACTAGGGGAGACATGATAGCAGTGTTCCAATATCTCAGGGGCTGCCACAAAGAAGAGGGAGTCAAACTGTTCTCCTGAGGGCAGGACAAGAAATAATGGGTGGAAACTAATCAAGGAGAGAAGCAACTTAGAACTATAGATAAATTTCCTGACAAGTTAGAACAATTAATCTGTGGAACAATTTGCCTCCAGAAGTTGTGAATGCTCCAACACTGGAAGTTTTAAAGAAGATGTTGGATAACCATTTGTCTGAAGTGGTGTAGGGTTTCTTGCCTAGGCAGGGGGTTGGATTAGAAAACTTACAAGGTCCCTTCCAACTCTGTTATTCTATTAACATATGTGTGATATTGATGCAAGAACGGTGATTCAGTTGTGTTGAATGTGATAACCATTTTGGCTTTTTAGAATCTTCCTTGTAGATTCCACTGTAGTAACCCCATGTCTGAGTTAGTGCATCATAGTGAGTTAGTCATTTCAAACCTGAGAACTGTGCAGCTTGCGATAAGCGGTCAAATAATAAGTTAAAAAGACTTCAGATAACTTCAGTGATGGAAGGACTACAGGAGGGCTAAGTGAGTAGTGTTCACTCTTTCATGTGACATGAAAAAGTGAACATCACTCACTTAATCCTTAAAAAAGCCATCATAGATGCTGTGCAATTCAGTTTTGTTAAAGCCATTAAAAAAAGGTACTCTGCTATGGAACAGACAATAATACTTGACTTATTATCCTCCTGGTTCTTCCTGTCCATTTTTCTCTGAGGAAACCTACCGAAAACATATTTGTTTATGATAGATCACTGCAAAAGAACATGTATTTCTAAACACTGTCACTGCATCTACTTCAGAAATATACACTGGGAAATATACAGGTAATCCTCAATTTGCAACCGTTCATTTAGTGACTGTTTGAAGTTACAACAGCACTGAAAAGTGATTTATGACTAGTTTTCACATTTATGACAGTCGCAACATCCTCCTGGTCATGTGATCAAAATCTGGGCACTTGGTAACTGGCATGTATTCATGACAGTTGCACTATCCAGAGGGAGAGGTCATGTGATCATCATTTGTAATTTTCCCAGATGTTTTCTGACAAGCCAAGTTAATGGGAGAAGTCAGATTCACGTAATTGCAGTGATTTCCTTAACAATGGGGGCATTAAAGGTTGTAAAATGGGGCAAGCCTCACTTAACAACTGCCTTGCTTAGCAATGGACATAACAGATAACAGATAATCAGAGTTGGAAGGGACCTTATAGGTCATCTAGTCTAACCGCCCGTCCAAGCAGGAGACCCTACACCATTTCTGACAAATGGCAGTCCAATCTCTTCTTGAAAGTCTCAAGTGATGATGCTCCCACAACTTCTGAGGGCAAGCTGTTCCATCGGTTGATTGTTCTCACTGTCAGAAAATTTCTCCTTATTTCCAAGTTAAATCTCTCCTTGTTCAGTTTCCATCCATTATTCCTTGTCTGGCCTACAGGCACTTTAGAAAATAGCTTGACTCCTTCCTCTCTGTGGCAGCCCCTCAAATATTGGAAGACCGCTATCATGTCTCCCCTGGTCCTTCTCTTTACAAGACTAGCCAAGCCCAGTTCCTGTAACTGTTCTTCATATGACTTAGGTCTCCAGTTCCCTAATCATCCTGGTTGCTCTTCTCTGTACTTTTTCTAGAGTCTCAACATCTTTTTTATAATGTGGTGACCAGACATTTTGGGCTCAATTGCAGTTGAAAGCTTACCAACGGGTCCATCAACAGACACATTAACTTAGAACCAGCATATGAATCAACAAGGAAGTGGATCACCCCCTCACCTGTTGACTTTCACACCTCACAGCAACCATTCAGAAGTCACAAGACCAGAATCAGTCTTTTGATTCAACCAGTCACAAGACCACCCAACCACCCAGGACCTATAATAAATGAACAAGGCACTTCACCTCAGATCCACTGAAGATGTTACCTAGTTTGGTAATGAAACACCTGGGAGCCAAGCTTGGAGGAAGATCTCTGCCTAAATCTACAACCTGAGCTACAAATATTTTCTACAATTTCAAAAACCACCTATGTACATAACAAAGAACAACATCAAAGATTTTTGCAATTAAAAAAAAAACTTAGATAATTAACTTTAACAACTACGTAGATCAAAGAATTTAATGCAACAGTTGTAATGTTAGAAAAAGCTACAAAAGAAAAACGGACACAGGGTTTTAATGAATTTGTTTTCATCTATTTTTCAAAGAAGAAAAACTCAATAAAGAGGATATTCCCCTAAATACCTCTGCAGGCTAAGTACTGTGGGAACTCAATATTTTTAGAACACACTTCCCCCCACACACACACACCTTGTGACAATTGTTTTGCAAGTTGAAATGCTGAAATCCTCCTCATTCAGATTATGAATAAGTCTCATATGTGCGTGGGAAGAATTGAGTTTGACTGCACTCTTGTGGTGATGCAGGGCGCCACATATTATTTGTTTCTCTATTTCTTGATACGAAAGAGAAGTAAAAAGATCATCACAGTGATTATAATCTTTAAACCTCATTATACTATTTTAACATTCATAACTGTAATATAGGATGAGGTAAGATAACTTGCACAAACTTCTAACGAATGTTAACCCAGTTGTTAATATAATTGTGAAAACAGAAATCAAGAAGAGATCTACATAAAGTTTTTTTGATGTATATTTACATCACCTAACAATAAACACAAAGAACAGTCTTGATTTTATTGATCCCCTATTCTCTTTTCTTATTATTATTATTTTCAAATCTTTACTTTGCATTTGCGTAGCATGTTGCTCAGTACTTGAAAGATATTGAAAGACTAACAGTTGAAGTTGAACTGAAGGGGCATCTGCAAGGATGGATCAAAAAAAGTGGACAATGGAATTTCAGTTGCACAATTGTGGTTTCCATCTTTTTCCTCTTTGTCTTCATCTTCCTCCTCCTCCTCTTCCTTCCTTCCTTCCTTCCTTCCTTCCTTCCTTCCTTCCTTCCTTCCTTCCTTCCTTCCTTCCTTCCTTCCTTCCTTCCTTCCTTCCTTCCTGACACAAGCACTTCCATTTTGTAGCAGCATGATGTTAGGATTGTGTCTGTGTCTGTATTTGTGCCTGTATCTTTGATTAGACTTATCCCTTATACTAAATCAAAATGAGCTGGGTGTGATCTGAATCCAGGATCTTTATTTACAAATCACACTTTCTAGTTTAATGTTATTTGTTTTATTTGTTATTTTTACTATGAAGCCAGATAATTGTGGCTTATTCAATAAAGCTTCAATAAATAAGACTTGGTTTTATTCATGGATGAACATAATCTTTCAGATTATGCACTTGATCTTTGGCTGTGTTTATCTTTTTGCGCTCAATCTTTGGCTGTCTTTCAACTTTGCTAAATAACTAGAGATATTTACAAACTGTCTTGTCACCCCAGAGCAGGATGGTTATGTTAATTATAAGACAAGTGTCAAATTTTGAAATGCTATTTCACATATACAATAAATTTCATTCAAGTGAATCTGAGAGAGGAACAGAGGAAGACAGATTCTGGCTTCTGTATTTCCTATTATTATATGTGATTCCCCATTTTTTCTTTTTAATCAGGAATACAAAAAAAAATCCCATCTGCAGTCTCAATATGTTATCATGTCCTTTTCCACAAAGCAACTGATTCCCCCAGCAGAACAATGTCTTTTCTCAAGAGTAACATGATTTCCAAGCCTTCTTTTGCAATAATGGAATTGAACCACCTTATTTCCTTATTTATGTATTTAGATTTAAAAAAGGAAGTGGTGAAACTGGGGCTGCTTGATGACAGGTTTTCTGAGAAAGAGACCGTTCAGCTCATACCGGAAGCTTTGCCGTCTTCAGTTGCAGCACACTTCTAAGGAAAGCCCAAACGCAGGAGTTCAATTTATTTTAAATGAATTCTGTGGATCTGCCGCATTTTTCCTGTATCCGTTGCTGCTGAGGAGATAGCCTACACTGTGTCATAGCCGAAGATTAACATGTTTTGCTTCCTAACTGACTAACCAGAAACAGAAATGGATTTGCGAAGCACGCCCTATCGCTCTGAAGTGGCTCGCTGGTCGCCCAATGAGTTGGCAGACTACTTTAGGAGGGTAAGTTTCATTTTAATTGAACAGTGTCATCTTTACCATTTCCAGTTAGTATTCTCAATTTTCTTCAATGGAAATCCTGAGCTTCTGTCTGTTTTCCTCATATCCAGAAAATATATTTTTCTGTACATATATGTTTTTATGTAATTTCAGCTTTCCAAAGTGATCCTTCCAAAAGAATTTTGTATCTTAGCTTGCATCTAGGGAGAATTATGATGATGATGATGATGAAGATGATGATGATGATGATGATGTTACACTTTTCTCCACTTATTTGTAATAAGAGCTTGGAATTCTACCAGTTGGCACTAAAGTTATATGATTTCTCTGTAAAGTGTGAGTGAATGACTGCCATCCCAGATTCAAAGTTACAAGGGGCCAGATTATTAATATCCAGTTTGTATTGTGATCTAAATCTATCTAGGCCTTGAAGGTGAGGCTAATTTTTTTCTTTCTTTCTTGGCCTACACATTCTTCAGAGAGAGAGTCAGCATTTCTGCCTCAAAGCAAAGCTTGAAGCTTAGCTGACTTTTGATTTGGAGGGCCATAATTAAAGGCTTTAAAGCAAAAGACACATTTCTCACCATTAATACCCGGCAAGAAAAAGAAGGTTGTGCTTCCAAAAGTTCTCTGAGAAGGCTTTCTTGCATAGCTTTATAACTATTGGAAGAAGGATAAGAACCAAACTGCAAAGAGATATTGCTGTGCCAGGAAAAGGACACTCTTATATTCACACACTGGTGCTCTCGTGAAGCATATGTGGAAGCCTACTTGTATTTGCCATAAATGCCAATCTATAAATTATAGTGTGCATAGATTGTATAGTATACTGCAGAGCTTTGAACATGGCTTTTAGAGCCAACAGTGGGCAGCATTAAAAACAGTTTAATTCTAGAAATAGTTTTTGGTCTCCCTAAATTTCCTCCTATTTTTCCATCCCTTTATGTCAATCACTCTCTCTTTAATACCATGTTAACTATGATAAGTGACTAGGTGCTACATAGATACCCCAAATAGTAACCCCACAGTATTAGGGCCAATATTTCAGCTTGATGTAGCTTTCAGGAGACACAGCACTTCCTGCCTTGACTGCACTATGCCACTACGACAACTTAATTTATTTTTCCTATAACTCATAGCAATGTGCTTTTGCAAATGAATACCATGTTAGCAGTCACAGAGAAGTTAAACCAAGTGGCAGACTTCATTAGAGAGGAGTGGAGACAGCAGGAGCACTGACAATTACACTACCTTGGACTTACAGGTCTTCTAGCCTTGACAGATTCAATTAGTCTCTTTCAGCTTTATTATACCCCCAGGCAATAGTCAAGAATAAATCAAGCTCAACTGACAACTTTGCAGTGGCCCAGCAACAGACTTCAATACTGTGTAGTTCAAATGAATGTACAGTTTAAGCCCTTTGTAAAACTTGAGGATGGATTTCTTGTTCCTTTTTTTTTTACTAATTGCTTTTGTATTCTCCAGAAATACCTGTCTGCATTGCCTTTACAGAGTTGTGGTCTACACTCTTTTTATGAAAAATATCAGCAGACAACCAGCTTTTGCACAAAATATCTGGTTTTGCACATTCTAGTTTTGCACAAAAGATTGTGCACAAAATATTTCACAAAGCCACAAAATATTATGTTTGCTGAAAGAGCTTGATTTACATGCCCTCTGCATCTTAAAAGCCAAATTTCTTTCATGTGGTTCTCCATTACAGTATGAGTTGATATTAATAGGTGATGAATCTCATCTTCCTTCTCTTGCCTGTTTCTTTACCTGGAGGTGGTGGGGATTGAGCTTGGAAATTTTTGAAAGTAGCATATGCTCCATTAGCTTCTTCCAGTGATCATATTTTCTTGGAGAAAAAACAAAGGTCAAACCTAAAAAGGGAACAAATATGAAAGTGGTTCGTAAGCATAAAAAAATCAATTGTTTATATTTATAACTTTGCCTTACAAAGGACAATCCAAGAGCAAGACCAAGAAAAAGTTAAAAAAACAAACAAATCTAAAACTCAACTTTCTGAATGAAAGGACTGTACTAAAGGATATTTGGTCACTGTATTCAAAATACATCCAAGATGCAGACAAAAGTCTTGTATCAGTGTTTACTAATGTTAAATTAATCAAATAAGCAGTTGGTGATTTGCTAATTTTCAAGGCCTCCACTTTTTCATAAACAAGCTCTGTTGTCATCTACACTTGGGTGTTCCTTTGTTTTGAACAGATTCTTCTACAGTACTGTCTTCAGTAGAATTTAGGATGATCTTCACACCTTCTCCTCTTTTCCTGAATTTGTAAATACTTATCTGAGGAAAGAACTTTATCTTTCTTTCAGTAAATATTGTAAATGTTATTCCAAAACCAAAATTACACAAGCATTGACTATTTTATTTCTAGTGCTCTGTTACACTTTTTAAAGTACCAATGAGCATTTGTTTTATGACAACACTGTCTTGCACTTTATAAACAAAAACTTCTTCCTTTGTTCCTTGGCCCAATTACCCCAAATGGCTCTGCCTAGGTGGAGTCCTTTCCACATGTATAACTTTACGCCTCTGGGTTCTCACTCTTTTCCTAGTAGGAATGTAAAGTATGACTGGAAGCTTTGACTCCCAGATGGAGATTGATATAAGGAATTTATTTTTATGGATACATGCTCTACTTTTTAGCAGAATGGATTGCTAGTAATAAAGAAGTTGTTTGTTGTAAGGTGAAAATCTTATCGTTCAAATATTTTTGAAAGTGGAATGCCACCCATGTTAATTTAGCATCAGGCCAAATTAGGGACTGACCTTTTCAGTACATTGATGTTTAAAGCATTAGAGAATTCTGAACTGATCAGTAGTGGGTTGCCTTCCTGTAGCTTTACGTGCCACATTTTCAACTTAGTGGTTGATTGTGCAATCAGTAATAGAATAGAATAGAATATTCTTTATTGGCCAAGTGTAATTGGGCACACAAGGAATTTGTCTCTGGTGTATAAGTTCATAGTGTAGATACAAGTAACAAAGTAAGAGGTCATATATTATAGGTCATAGTTACAATCATTGGTCATAAGATACCACAAATAGTGATAAATCATAAGAAATGAATAGGAAGAGGTAATAGGAAAGATGAGAAGATGAGATGATAATGATAACAACAATATAGCCTACTATATGGGTAAATATATTTAGGCCTAAGACAGTGCTGTGGGAATTAGGTGTTCAGCGGAGTTTAGTCAACTATTTTTGTGTTTAGTTGTTTTGACATGCAATGCCTTATAGCGACAGCTGAAGGGAGAAGTTGAAACAGTTTATGTCCAGAATGTGAGAGGTCTGTAAATATTTTCTCAGCCTTCTTTCTGGTCCATGCAGTATACAGATCCTCAATGGAAGGCAGGCTGGTTGCAATTATTTTTTCTGCAGTCCTTACTATCTATATCAACTAACAATGTCGAAAGTTGCTGCAAACCCATCTTAGTCTTGTCTTCTCATGTTGTTTTCTCCAGTGCTAGATAATCTCATATATAACTGTAAAGAAGTTGTTTCCTTAAATGTCCTTTTCTTGGTATTATCAGTACTTTTCAACTTGAGCAACATGTTCAATCCTTGCAGACAGAGGTCGATCAATCAATCGAATTGCCTTAAATTAAAATATAAAAGCTCTCTTTGTGATAACTGTTTTGAACTACTAGCCTATGTCAAATTTACCAGTTAGATCAGGGGTGTCAAACTAGTGGCCCATGGGCCAGAAGCATCCAGACAGTACCCCAGCTCTGTGAATGGGAAAAACATCACGAAATGTCACTTGACGGCAACGTGACACGGCAAGTTTGACACCCGTGAGTTAGATGAAGCCCTTTGGTGGGTAGCTTCAATATTACTTGATTCCTGAATGATATTATTATTTAGGGATATCAAGTCATTTATTATTTTTGTATTTTCTAAATAATTTTGAGAGCTAAACTGCTTGATTGACCTATGCCATACCTATCTTGCCAGTTATGTTGGTACTATATATGACACCTCACATGGGAGACTTCTCTTAATCTTTTACATTTAAAGTACTGTTGAGGACACAAAAACCTTTCTGGACCATTCTTCAGGGTGAGATTGTATGAGAATTATGTTTTAGTTACTATCTTGCTAGAGGGTGGGATTCTGGTTTTGTACTGAGAACTGTTGTATGTATTTATGATCACTAAGTAGGGATCTGTTTATTCCTCTGGCTAAGATGTATACTGCTGGAAAAAAAACTCAGCAAAGATATGAGTGAGATATTCTATGTTTTGGTTCAAGAAAAGAGATTATAGTCAGTCATGAATCTCTCATGAATTCAGTGTTCACCGTAATGAATATAATGTAATCTGTAATTAAATGTACTGAATTTATTAAAATTGAACTTAATTTTTTTTTAAAAGAACATCATTTCTGTCTTGTTTTATATACAGTTTGTTTGTCAGAGCATCCTGTCCACTCTTAATATATTCAATTAAAATAATGAGAACAAAAATTCTTCAAAATTTAAAAGAGGGATTCCCCCCCCCCAGCAAGCCCTTTCTTAACCAGACTGATGTAGCCACATTTTTTCAATTCAAATCATCATTTTTTCAAATCATCCAGCAGTTCCCGCTGGCAGAAGAAATTTTTGTGGATGAATGTCAATCTCTTGATGCATGTACAAAAAACTCCTTTTGCTTGTGAGATTCCTGGAGAAAGGTTTAAGACAATATAAAGTATTCTACTTCTATTTTTTTCTTCACTTCAGTGAGAAGAATTATGTTGCCTCTGCAGTGTGATGCACCTCCTCAGGTTGAAATCGCAGTCACTAACAATGGCCTAATGAGATTGTTCTGCACTCAGATGTGCTTTTGGGTGGTTAGATAATGGCTACACACAGGAGAAACCATTAAAATATTATCAATATTTGTAAACTTTTGCAGTCAAACTCTGGATAGTATACAGCAAGGAAAGCAAGACAATAAAAACAAACAAAAATTACAGAATATGAATTAGTATACCAATTAATATAATGGATCCCACTATTATTTAAAGTCAAAGGCATGTCAGTATAGGACAGTTTTTAATTGCCTTAGGGCAGGGGTGTCAAACTTGCGGCTCACAGGCTGGATGTGTCATGTGCTGGCCACACCCACTCCTGTTTTAACAAAGGGGGGAAAGTCATGATACATCACATGATGATGTGATGACATGAGTTTGACACCCCTGCCAGAGGTGCAGGCATGCAGCAGGTTCTGACCAGTTCTGGAGAACCAGTGGTGAAAATTTGAGTAGTTCGGAGAACCAGCAAACACCACCTCTGACTGGCCCCGCCCCCATCTATTCTCTGCCTCCTGAGTCCCAGCTGTTAGGCTGGGTCTTCTTTTATTGCCCTGCACAGGAGAACAGAGCTGGAAAGCAGGTTAGTGGGATGGGGAGTGAATGGGATTTTGCAGTAACCTTCCCCCAGGAGTGGGGAGGGAATCCTTTTCCTGCCATGCCCACCAAGCCATGCCCACCAAGCCACACCTACCAAGCCATGCCATGCCTTCCAAGCCACACCCACAGAATCAGTAGTATTTTTTTTTAAATCCCACTACTGACCCTTGCCCTGGGGAGAACCAGGAAGCATGGGGCCAAATGCTAGCTAAAGAATTCTGAGAGCTGAAGTCCACACATCTTAAAGTTGCTGAGTTGAAAAATACTGCTTTAGAGATATTACTGGGGGGAAAACTGCTTCCTGACCCACATTGGGTGTACCTCTTAAGGGGATAGGAACCTCAGCAAGCTCTCACTAGATATTCGGACATGATGGGTAGACTCATTCTGGCAAGGTGGTTCCTGATATATCTGGATGTAATGCCATTTGCAACTTTATAAGTGATACTTTAATAACTCTGCAGTAGCAAGTTGGCCCTCTCAGAGGTTTAGCAGTTGCATTCTATACCAGCTGTGAGTTGTCTCCAAAGACAGATCCACATAGAATGCCTTGCAGTAATACAGATATGTACTCATTAAGGTGGAAGTTATCTTTCTTGGAGCATCCTGACAGAACATTAGCCAAAGTTGGGCAAAAGCCCCCTTCCACCTGCTCTTTTAAAAGACAACAATACAATCAAATAGAAAAGCAAATACATTAATAAGGGCTTTCTAAAGCTAAGTAAGTTGTGAAACTGTATTGTACAAGGTGTGAAGCGGCACAGAAGATGCATTTCTCTGAACTGCTACTTAAATGGCAATTTTAAAAAATCATATAGCACTCTTCTCACTGTGAGTAGTTACGATCTTAGAGCTAAAATTACACGATCTCTTCTGCAATTAAAGTTTATTTTTTTTAAATAAAAATATTTAAAAATCAGGTTAGTTCTGCATTTGATAAGTCTGACAAATTGTGTCTTTATCCTTACAGTTCATAGTGATGAAACAGCCTTGAATACTACACCTGACTGCTATCATTATACAAACAATTCTAGAGTCATAACTCCCACTCAAGTTAGTGTTATTTCTGAAGAAGCATGTCTAATTTTCAGCCATAAATCAGTTATGCTTTATTTAGACAGTTTAAATCTGGTTACAAATATGCTTGTAATTATTAACAGCACAAGCCTAGCAATCCAAAATTGTGCAAAACTTCTGAATTTGATGGCACTTATTTGCCAAAAATATGAGTAGGAGATGGCAGGCTAACAGTGATTGTTACAAGTGCTCTTAACATTAACACAATTTATTTTCATTTGCAGTTAAACTTTAAGGATTGTGAGAAAGTTGTTAGGAAACTTAACATAACTGGACAAAGATTTCTGGTAAGTTTTTCAATACTTTTATAGACTTACAGAATATAGAGTTGGAATTGAACATAGGGATTATTTAATCCAATTCTCTAGAAAGCTCAGGAAAACCATCTAATTCTAAACCTTGCTACAATTTTCAGAAAGATATGTCAAAAGTTCTAATTTCTTTGGGTATGCAATCAGTTAATCAATCAATCATTATTGATAGATAATAAGTAAGCTATTAAAAACAAAGAGGTATTAGTGAATAATTAGGGAAGAAGAAGATGGGGTGAGAAAACAGCATGTGTTGCAAGTTACACTTAAGCAAATATCACTCTCATGTGACCATTGCAATTCTATTTTTATTTTATAATAAGCATCCTCAGTAACAAAAATGATGGCACGTGCCTAATTATAGTATGCTGCTTTTTTTTGTTTCAGAACATGTCTGAAAATGATATTCAGAAGTTTCCAAAGCTAAAAGTTCCGTAAGTAAATCACATGTGATTCTGTCACTAGTAAGTTGATGCTAAATATGTGGAAAAGAAAACCATCACAATCCAATTAAAAGGAAAATGAATTCCTTGAACACAAGTTTTGCTTTTGCTCACTAGAAGCTTCTCCTTCCCCTCCCTGGATCAGATAAAATTAATTTCCTTTACATGACGGTGTAGAGAATAGGGCAGAAACCTATTTCTGAAAGATACAGCAATTGTTGGCCCAAACAGAAAATACTACTGGAATCTACTTGAGGAATAGATACAACCAATATCACCTTTTCTAATTTAAACAACTTGGTCAGAATCCAAACTGAGTTTATTTATTTATAAATAAGTTTACCTAAAGTAAAGAACTTGAGTAGAATCTGAGTTGTGTTGGATTCAGATTTCATCCAAATCGGTAAGATTAAGTCACGGCCACCTATTTGTCCAAATTACTATGGGACCTTAAAGCAGTTGAATTAGATGCCATTGATGTCATTATCATTTTCTAACACTTCTTGTAGAATTAAATGTAGAAAGAAATAGAATAATGATAAGGTGCAAAACTACTTCAATTTTTTTATAGACAAATATAGTATGTCTTTCTCATATAAAGCTGACCCTAAAGCCCCAATTTCAATTATATTGCAAGAAATGTCAGGAACATCTAAAAAATTTTTTTAACTTTTCATATCAGGGAAGGATAAAAATGTATGTAGAGAATCAATTGTGCTGATATAAAGTAGATTTAGTGATGCTTTCTTTTCTTATCTGCTTCCTTTAATATGTTTTGTTTACTACTACTTTCTTCAGTGCTGTGTATGACACCACTTATTACCCCAAAAGGGAGCAACATGTTTAAGTTTGTAAGAATGCCTGTCTAAAATTTAATTGTTATCAAGCAAAAAAACATTCATTCCTGTCTTCTATGGTAGGCAATCTGTATGAATATATAAATTACATAATCCATTGAATATTTTGAATATTTTAAAAAAATCTAAATCATTCTGACACTATTATTGTTTTAGTTTAATTACTTTAGAAGTGGTGTAGTTGTATTGAAGTTCTACTACATGCATTTTTAAACCTGAATTATTGCTTTGGGATCTTTACATTTGTACACAACAATTTATTGAGGTTGTTTTGGTATATTTAGAGAATATAAATAATATTCTGGTACAAATGCAACACTGTGTAGAATTCTAATTTCTGAAATATGTCATAATTGTTCCTGGCTACTCCAAATATATCCCAGAGCTGTTCAGGCATCCTAGGCAGAACCCTTCTGGGTGAGAATTGTGAAACTTTTAGTATCAAAATATATTGAGAGCTCCAGGATGTGGACTGCTATAATACAAGAACACTTGCTTGATCTTTTCTGCAATATTTTGATATGGTTTTTCCTTTCAGCAACATGTGCTTTCCTGTCTCGGCTTTACTATCAAAAATAGCTTCAAGATCACATGTTTTGCAACACACAATGTCACCTTCTTTTATTACCACCCACATAGTAGTTCTCAAGTCTCCCCCCACCCATTTATAGTTCTTTTGCTTTTTTCTCAACCATCTTGACAATGGCAATGTTAAGAGTAGGAGGAAGAATGTTGGTCTCGTAATTGAGAAAGAATTGCTGTTTTTCATTGGCCTTATACAGGAATTATTCAGAAAGACCAATCAGAGGCTCAGATTGCTTTAGATAATGGAAAAAGCTCTGAGAAAGCTTTGTTGGTGTCTGCCCAAAATAGAAAACATAGCACCTGAGAGTCATACCGGTGCCACGCATATTCTGTGGGATTTGATTAACACGCATGAACTAAGTCAAATAGAAAAGATATGAGACCCGTACGAAGCCTGTTTATTGCATGAGGTTTGGAACCCCTGTACATAAATGGCATAGCATAAATCATGTGAACTCCTGTTACATTGTGGTCACTGTTTGTTCTCTGATTGTGTTGTGCATTCTGGCAGATTGCCAAACACAGAAAATACTTTGTTTTGTTTTGCAGGCAGATTGACAAATGCAAGAGTGCATTGTGTATAGCCTTAACAAATAGTGTTGCTGTTACTCATTCAGGTTGCTAAATATAAAAACTATATTACTTTATTTGTTTAAACCCCTCTAAAAAAAGTCCCAAAACTAATTGCCACTTAGGTTTTTGCTTACTGTTCATGAGGTTTGTTGAAATTTTTATGTTGCTATTGACATCTCTGCTAAATTTAGTTTTATTGCTTTTTCTGCAAGCAGAAGTTTCAGAAACCATCTTTAATGGTTGCTTCCACTGTTAGCTAGGAGGTTTTTTTTTTAAAAAAAAAAATATTGTTTGGTCGATTTTGTACGTGTGTGCATTGGCTAATACACAGCAGATACCTATCTCCATTAATTTTAAATACCCAATGATAAGAGCTCTGAAAACGTTTTTAAATTTTATTCAGTTGGAACACAGAACATTCAAATGTTCTTATATTTCACTTTATTGCACATTACTATGCATCAGCCCACCCATCCATCGACTTACATGTTTGTCAAGATCAATGAGTATAAATTTGTCACTCCATATCATACAAGTAAAGTAGACAAGATAATAAAAAACAATGTGAGTCATATACAATTCTAATCAAACGTTATTAACTGATTTACCATATTCATTCATTCACATCTTATATATACACGTACTGGCTGAATTAATCCATTGTACTAAGCCAGTAATATGGTTTGCTCGGTTTTTGTTTAAACTATATATAACTCTTGTAATATATCAGGTGTGATTTGTGACACAAAGCTATAACTCAGCTGTGGATTACTTAACAGACTGTGGTTTAAACAAAATATATGTTGATGTTACATGCAGAGCCAGCATCCTTCCTTCCCTTTCTCACACATTTATATACATTATAGACATGCTATATTGATTATGTGCCATCAAGTCATTGTTTACTCTTAGTGACCACATAGATGGATTTTCTCCAGGATATTAGATCATCCAACATGGAATCCAACCACCTTGCTTCTGATTGTGCCTTTTCTTTTTCACATCACCTTCCTGGCATTATGAACTTGTCCAGAGAACTAGGGCTTTGCGTAATGTATCAAACATATAATAATTTGAGCCTGGTCATTTCATGTCAAATGAGAACTCTGAATTGATTTGTGTAATAATATACTAGCTCAATACCCATCCTTCGCTATTAAACTATGTGGTCGGGCTTAGTTTTTGGGAGAAAAATAAGGGGAAGAAATTGTGCCTCTGCCTATCAGCATCCATCAGTATTCATCTGGCTAGCGTCCTGTCAGTGTGTGAGAGAGTTGAAGGCTGTTTGGAAAGTTAAACAGTATTTGCTGTGTGAGCAAGAAGGAGAGAGCAAGGAGCCTGTGGGTGGCTTAGCTCAACTGTTCTGTACTAAAGCTGCTTGGTGCTGTGAAACTAAAACTGAAACTCCCCTCCTCTACTTGTGTTTTGCATTTGGAACAGATTTCTTTTCAGGTGGTCAGGGGGAGTAGAACTCCTTAGCATCATAGTGTGTTAATAATAATATCAAAAATACTAATGCTCTGATGGTCATTTTGAAAAATCCTCTCTTAGTAAGCACCTAGGAGCCAAGAGGAACATACGTGCCAAATTTCAAGCTTGTAGACTTTACAGTTCTGGAGATAGATAGATAGATAGATAGATAGATAGATAGATAGATAGATAGA